TCCTTTTAGTGAGTTGTTAAGGTCACCTGGAGGTTTATCTGTGTCCTGGGGTCACCTGAGTAGTGCTTCTGGTTCCTGTAGTCTGCAATTTTTTCTCTGGAAATCCATTCCTACTCCCACACCATTCAAAGGGTGTTCATCCCAAACTGTAACGTCTTCAGAGAAAAAACAAAGACAGTCCAGTTGCCTCCTGAAAAAGCACCTTTGGGACAACCATGCCCTGGATGACTGAGAATCTCTATCGCTTTTCCCCTCCAGTTCTTCACTTTGGCTCATTCATTAGATATGCCAACAGACAGTCAAGAACCGGGAGGCAGAAAGGTCTTTGCAATGAGTAGACCGGGCCAAAGCAACGTGGGTAGACCGGGCTGAAGTGACATAGGCCAGCCCCTTACATTTTTCAGGACAGCCTCGCCGGCCAGATCTGACCACATCACAGGCCGGATCCAGCCCCCGGGCCTTGCATTTGACACCTCTGCTGTAACCTCTAATCTGACCCTGGAAGGAAGGGAATGTGTCTTTTAAAAATGGCTTGAAAGAGCACAACAAAGAACATTGGGAGGGAGAAGTTTCTTTTAGTTTTCCGCAGATGGAACTTAATTCTCTCTCGTGTATTTAATTTAGCACCTGGTGCTGAAGACGTGTGAAGTGGATCTGCTGACTTTAAATGACTAAATTATATGCTTCTATAGGTAGCATCTGACTTCTTCAGAACTGAGAAGTGGTTAATGTTTCTCCTAGGGACCATCTCCCCCATCCCCAATATAAATTGCTTTGCAAAATCTCCTGAATGCATTTTAGATCCTTATGTTTTACTTCCCATAGTTTTAGATTTCTTCCCAATGGTGGCTTCACTCCTTGGAGATGCCAAAAATTTGGGTAAGATATCATGGTCTTGGTTTCTTCTCTGATCCAACAATTAGCATCATATTTTAGTACAGGCAGCAATCTATTCCTGGACACTTCTATCTGCATTGGTTAGGCTTCTTAACCTATACCTTTCATTCTTTTTCCTAATTAAATTACAGCCCAAAAAAAATTATTGGTGTGTTACAGAACAAAAACATCAATTTTTTAGCAAGCCTTGAGTTAGTTTTACATTTCAGTAAGGTAGACAAAGAAAGGAGCAGAAAGTATATCTAGCTTTTTAAGAATAATATTAACATTTAGCAAGGGGTATATGTATCTGTGTTTCTCTGAGAGATAAAAATTTTTGAGGGGGGGGGGGGTGAAGCAGCCATTCCTAGTTCCACTTCAACTACAACCAGTAAACCAAATCAGTGTATGGTTTACAAGAAGTCCAAACCACTCATTTTAGAATAAAAGTAAATAAAATTATGAAGGAACGTGGTGGCTCAGTGGTTTAGACGCTGAGCTTGTCGATCAGAAAGGTTGGCAGTTCAACAGTTCGAATCCCTAGCCCCGTGTAGTGGAGTGAGCTCCATTACTTGTCCCAGCTTCTGCCAACCCAGCAGTTCGAAAGCATATAAAAATGCAAGTAGAAAAACATGGACCACCTTTGGAGGGAAGGTAACAGCGTTCCATGCGCCTTTGGCATTTAGTCATGCTGGCCACATGACTACGGAGACGTCTTCTGACAGCAGCTTTGGCTTTGAAACAGAGATGTGAACCGCCCTGGAACGACTAGCACATATGTGCGAGGGGAACCTTTACCAAAATAAAATTAAAAATATTGTATGGCTGCGATTTAGCATATAAACAATTGTAATCCAGCATAGCAGGTTCCCAAAGAAGTTTTTGCTCCACTCCCTTGAGATCAAGCTGACCAATATCCTAAAAATCAGCATGCACTTAGGAAGATTGCATTTAAAAATTATGGAAGAGCTAAATGAAACTTAGTCCTCAATCACCTCCATTCGACCAATTAGATCTCACCGATTAGGCCTCCTCCGAGTTCCATCTGCCGGTCAGTGTCGACTGGC